TTCTCCACTACTTCAAAAGTTAGCAGTGTTTTGTTGTCACGTTTTTCTCTGTGCTCCTGACATGGTTGACCGTTAACTCCCGTTTCTGTCTTCCTGCCTGCAGGTCACATGCTGCGGCCTTTGCTCCACGCTGAGCGCTACGTGGCTGGATACGGGCTGCAGACAGGAGAGATTCACACGCTCATGTACAACTACCATCCCTACAGGTCTTTCCCTGTGCTGCTGCTGGACACGGTGCCTTGGTATCTGCGTCTCTACATCCACACACTCACTGTCACCAGCAAAGGAAAGGACAACCAGCCCAGTGAGTGATTTTTGAGAAGGATGTGTGCATGCAAACTTGCAATCAGGGTGTGAAACTTACAGCTACAAATGTGCCAAAACTAGTGATTTGTGTGTGATAACTGATAAATGAAAGCTGGTAAGAACTGGGTGCTTACTGAGATGATAGAAATCCAATCAGCTTCATACCACAAGTATTAGGAAATGAGGCAGCAGCATTTCTCTGTAACTGTAAAAGTTGTGATAGTTATTTAATTAATTAGCTTTTACTTGACTACCTGAGCTGTATGTGCACAAGTATTCACACAAGAGCTCAGAATTTGTTAAAATTAAAAATCTGTAGTTTGCATGACTGAAACAGAATCTGAAGGTTGTGTTTCTCATTCCATCTCAAGTCATCAAATTTTAAAACACTTTCTGCTCAACCAGCTCTGATTTGCCTGAATTTTTAATAGAATAAAATATGTATACTTGTGAAATTTTTAGATTTATATGTCAAACCCTTTCTGAGACGTTTTTTGTAATGTTTTTTTTAATTGACCCACTTTTAACACATTTTTTTTGGACATTAAAATCACAATAACTAAAGAAGTAATACAAGTAATGAAAACTGTTATTTTTCAGTGCTAAAAATGAAATGAAAAGCAATGAAAGAAAATGGAAAACAAACAAACATTAAAGTCATTATGGAAAGTTTCATCTTTGAGCATACATTAACAAAAAAGATAATGCAGAAGTCAACTAGCTATATTTTTCTGAATCATACATAGTTGCTTTCACAGTTATATGAAACAAAATGTATAGAATAATTTTTTGTCTTTAAACAGTCACAAAAATTGTAAAATATGTTTTTTGTTCAACTTTCACAAACAGGTATGACAAGATGTCCCACAAAAACAAACATATTGCTGGATATAAGATAGAAAAGAGTTCTGGACCTTTAGAAGTGGTTCTGCATGATCAACAACGTTACAGATTCTGATACGATGACAAATAACAGTCATATTTCAGGCGTTTTCTTGCATATTTTGTGAACTATTCCCATGCAAACATACATTTGAATGTGACAAAACGCGCTGAAAGTGGGTTGATGGGCATTTTTTTTCCTCCTTTTAAAAAAAAAATATTTCTGGAAAGTACTTGATATATCAATTTAAAATTTGCTAGACAACATCTTAAATATCCATAGTTTATGATAAAAACAAAAGGTTTCAAGTGTATCAGAGATGGTTGAGCAGAAGGCTCTTGATAAGGTGAGAAAGATTTTTAAAAAATAACCCACCAAGATTTTGACATTGTAGCTTAAAGGTGAATAATTTCACTGTAAGTAATTGTATTGCAATTAATTTAATTGGTTGGTTCAAAAATGGGCTGCAAAGTGGATCAGTTGCACAATTGCCTCCCAACAACAAGGTTGTCGGTTCGCATCCCAGTTTCTGCATGGAGTGTGCATGTTCTCTCCGTACAGCGTGGGTTCTCTCCAGGTTCTCTGGCTTCCTCCCACACAGTCCAAATGCATGTTGAGGTTAATTGGTGATTCTAAATTGTCTGTAGGTGTGAATGTGAGTGTGCTTGGTTGTCTGTCTCTAAGTGTAGCCCTGTGATAGACTGGTGACCTGTCCAGGGTGTCCCCTGCCTTCACCCTGAGTCAGCTGGGATAGGCTCCAGCCCCCCATGACCCTAGTGAGGATTAAGCGGTGTATAGATAATGGATGGATGGTTCAAAAATTTGAACTGCCTTCAACAGATTCTGAAACATTCAGTGTGCGTCAGTTTACTCAGCTACTATGTTGTTATTGTTAATTACAGTGTGTTGATTGTTTGACTTGTGCATTGTCACAGCAGAAATGTTTGTAGTTCAGCTCTACACAGGTAGATAAGTTAGTTTATTTCCTACTTGAGTTTGTCATACTTTTAGCAGTTTAACATGTGATACTTTACGTTCCACATAAAATCATTGTTTCATGTAGATGCTTGTTTTCACCACAAGGAGGCGAACATGAGTCATGTTTTGTTTTAGAAAACTGTGGTGGAAGACATGCTGTACTATGGTGCTTCTATCTCTTTTGTTGCTGGGCTTTTGCTAAAACTCCATCATAAGTGCGATTATTTATGTCATATTATAACTCTGTATCATAGGTGTGTAAAACAAATGGCTGCCTATAAACATTAAAACGGTGCATCAGTGGTAACTCATGTTTTCTTTACTCTGCCAGGCTACATCCACTACCAGCCATCTAAGGACCGTGTGAGACCTCACCTGCTGGAGATGCTCGTCCAGCTTCCCCCCAACTCTGTCACTGAGGTCACGGTGCAGTTTGAGAGGGCTCTGCTGAAATGGACCGAGTACACGCCCGATCCCAACCACGGCTTCTATGTCGGGTATGAACGCAGCATTGTTTCAGAAGTTTCCGAGAAAAGATGCACACATGTTCCTCTCACATCGAGTTGAGACAGTGCTGTTATGCAGTTTGTTTTTTTGCATGAATTTATTTGGATCTTAAATTTCTATCTGACTTACAAAGTGACTGTAATCTTCAACATTTAGGTCTTCAGTCATCAGTGCTCTTGTACCAAGCATTGTCGCCATGGATACAAACAACACTCGGGAACGACCACTTTTCAGCAGCTTGTAAGTATAGTGTTTTTCTTTTATTGAGGAAAATGTCTTTTCCTGCTTCTTATTCTTGTGCTGTTTGAGTTTATGCAAGGAAACACATTTGTCTGGAAAGTCAAATGATGAACTTTCTCATCTCCTGACAGTTTTCCCTGTAAAGAAGAGTCCAGCTACTTTGTGCGCGTCTACACTGAACCTCTGCTGGTCAACCTGCCCACTCCAGACTTCAGCATGCCGTATAACGTCATCTGTCTGACCTGCACTGTTGTGGCCGTGGGCTACGGCTCCCTGTACAACCTGCTGACCCGGAGCTTCCAGATAGAAGAGCCCAGCCCGGGGTTGGCCAAGAGGATAGCCAACGTGATCCGCAAGATGAGGGGCGTGCCGCCGCTCTGAAACTGGACAAACAAGCTCAAGTTTTTCTTTTGGTGAAACTACGAGAAAACATGAAATAATCAGGGAAGAACTGAGTTAAACACTGGTATGAATGTTTTTATAAACCGTCAACTTGAAGGTTTTGTTTTCAGATGGAAGAAGACAAATACTTTTGTTGAACATTAACGTGTCCAGGAGAGGTTCCTCCTGGCCAAGGACTAAAATGTAGACATTTGTCTTCATGAGTGGAAAGTTAAAGACCTTTGTTATTGTTTGACAAGTTCAAGGAAGCTAAGCTATACGGTGTGCTGTGGTGGAAACTTTTGGGTTTATTGTTTTTGTTTTGTAGATGTTTAACACCACAACTCCATTACATCACGATGTGGCCATATGAAGTCTCTGAGCTCCTGCAGAAAGAGGATTGTTTTTGCTCTCGTACTGTTTTCTGACCTGTTATTTGTCATCTCCCTAATAGGAAAGACAGAATAAGGTCAGAATTACTTAGTCATAGTTTTATTTATTTAATCGTCCTCGGCTATTGCAGGATTTTAAGTAACTCTTAAATACTGAGTTTCTCGCCGCTAATCAGACATTCGAAAACAATAAATCCAGAACTATTTGATCTTTATATAATCGTGATGGATTTTTAATACCCCACATGTTTTCTATACTAGTTTTAAGACACGAGAAGAGAACAAATGCCTACAAAAATACAGAAAGTGACAAAAAACAAAGAATATTCTTAATTAAACACAGGCTGGGTTTCAATTTCCACACTGTGTAGTTCAGCAGAAAAGATTCAGTGACACATAGTATGTCAAATGCCAGAACTACCTGGAAGTCCTGCTAAGTCTGGTCAGATTTTGGAGTATGCAATCCTTCACGCTTTTCTGGTTATCCTGACCCACCATCCTCCGTCACATACGTCGCAGTGTTGAGTGTGAACAAGCCGCACAAATAGATGGCAGCTCATTTCACACTACAGGCTGCGACGGTCAAAGTTTAGAACCCAACATGATGACCATACATCCTAGTAGTATGCCCACTGCATGAAACAGTCGGTACTTTGTGCAGCAGTAGTACGCGCTTATCCACGTAAAAAGAAAATGTATGCAATTTGGAATGCTGCCACGTTGCTTTTTTTTTTTTTAGAGCTACTTTGTTGTAGAAAAACCTTTTACCAAACATATAATTTGCACTGATTTTTGGATGCATGCTCGAATGTTAACTGTGCTAATGTCTGAATGTCTCCATAACTGATTGCCTTTGGCTTCATTAACTCACGCATTCCCCAGTTTAATGAAGTTCCAACATGTCTTATCGCATAAATACTTCATCCTACAATGTTGGTACGTTTCACACACTGTCCTCTGTCATGCTTGTCTGCCTGTAGGTCAATTCTGTTTTACTTACTGTGAATAAGTGAGCAGAATGTGAATGAATCTGTACTATGTGTGTGTGTGTGTGTGTGTGACAGAACTTAAATATTATTGCCTTTTCAATAAACTGACAAACATCTTTTATCCAGATTAGTAGCAGTGAAAGAACTGTTCTAAATGACGCTGGAGCTGGACCTTTATTACTTCCCACCGAGTGCCCACATTTTTGTGTAAACAGACTTGGCCCCACTTCTGGCAGACGGAGAGAGAGAACAAACACAGACGTCTCTGTGTTTGGCCGGTCAGCGATTCTCACCCCTGCACGTTTGCCAACAGCGTGGAACAAAAACAAAAGAGAGGAAAAAAAAAAAAGCAGCATTCCACATAAGTGATTTTCATATCTGATCTGCTTCAAAACTACATGTTCCCTCTGGGCGAGTAGGTGTTTACAGCCTGAGAGCAAATCGCTCATGAGTGCTTTGTTACACAGTTCTATTGCATAACCTTATGTAGCACATATGTTTATAGTTTGCTAAACAAATGTACTTTTTTTTTTTTCTCCACATAAAATTTTTGTAAAAAGTCGATCTTTAAGATGTTGCGGTGCAGCAGATCTGAAACCCCGGAGCACCACGACTGCTTGGTTATCTCTTTAAATAGTCGTGTTTAAGCCAGTAAGCAATTTCCATTCTTGCCACATTTCATCATTTGTTTTCGCAGCTAAGCTCTCGACTAAAAAGCCCATAAAAGAGGCCTGTGAAATTCAAGACTGAGAATTAGCAAGGGAATACAGATGTCTAGGTACTGGATGTGGGATATATTTATTGGCTGAAACACAAAATGCTCTACAGAGATACAACTCGTACAGAAATATCGTTCCTTCACACAATGTTAACATCAACGTAAGGCTGACATTTTAAAGTTAAGATACATACATAGACATAGACTGCCTTTTCCTGATAAGAAAGTTTTGGAAGATTGGCTAAGATGAAAAAAAATCAATTATATTAAAGAAACTGTCTCCCCCAAAGATTCAAGGGTTGTGCAAACCTGTGCTTAAATCCTGTGCTGCTATGGAGTTGATGAAGTGAAAACAATGTGATAAATGAGCAATTTATGCAACATTCATATCAAAGAATCCCAACAAGTGCAGACTAGGCTGTGGCTCATCTGCTCGTCCCATCAGCACGGCTCGCTGCAGGCGTGGCCGCAGGTTGTCCTGCAGCATTTTTGCTCTTCTGGACACTGACCATCGTGATAGCAGTACTCTGCACACATGGGGGTGGCCGGGGGCAGAGGGCAGCGACCTTTCTTCACTGATGGAGCGAAGACAAAAACACAATCAGTTTACACAACACTACAGGAGGAATATTTGGAGGATTTTGTTGTATAGCTCACCTGTGTACGGCGCCATGCACTGATGTCCGCATCCATTGTGGCAGCACTTCTCATCGTCGGGACAGTCTCTGTCACTAGAGCAGAACTCGGCACACAGTCCCACACCCCAGAGCCGGCGAGGACACACTCCTGGCTTTGCTGAAGGGGAAAAGAAACCAGTTTATACAAAGAGTTTTGTAACTGGAAGTGTGGGCAGTACGGCTTCATGCTGGAAGAAGGCCTTTAATGAGGTGTCCAAGGTGGATTTCCACTTCACTGAGAAGATTTAACCAAAGATTTTAACTGCTGCCCACTTGAGAGAAAGTTAAACTTTGTGGCACAGACAGCTCCACAGTCAAACACACAGCATTTATGGTCTGCAGGACAGTCTTCATCACACACACACGCACCCCTTATGTGATGGGACAACATTAAGGCGACGTGGGCAGTGACCTGGTTTTGGGAGAATCGCTAAGAGAAAGAGGCAGTGAAATAGAAACAGGGAGAAAGATCAGCTGTGGTAACTGGGGTGACATTAATGACGGCGTCTGGTTGCCAGCGTGATTGTTTAACGACACATTTGAGAGGAGAACAGTGACTATACGTGAAATGCATGTGAGTCAAAAGACACTTACCTGTTAGGTTGCCATCAGCTTCTGCAGCCAGAACTGTGTTAAAGTGCCCCAGTGCACCAAATACAAAAATCAATACACAAACTGTAGACCAGTGTTTCTCCATGTTAACCTCTTGCACAGAAGAATGTGTTCCTGTTTGGACGAATTTAACAGAACACAACCTGTAGGCTGAGCAGCCCGGTCACAGGGTGCTGGGTCCCTGTGCCTGTAGAGTTACAGCTACACAGTTATTGGATAAGATGTAAAAGCACACACACACACACACACACACACAAACACTTTACCCAAAAGCTAATTAAACTCATTTTGGAATCAAGCTTAAAGGATGGATTTTATTATTTTATTTATGGTGTATTTTTTTTTGAAAGTTGCCCAAATGGTAATGAACATTTTGCTTTCGATAATTTAATAACGAGAAAATTGAAAGTGTTCCAGCTGAAAAGGAGAACAGGAACTATTTATTAGTTAAAGCTGTTATTGATCACGCACTCTGCTTTATTGCTGCTATTCATTTTTGCTTAACATGAGACCTTTACTCCGTTACTCGGTTGTACTTTACCACCAGTTTTCTGTCTTTGTTCCCTTATTTTCTTATGCAGTGGCTTCAGTTGTCCATTCAACGCAAAATATCCCTTAAATTTACACCTTAATGAGCACTTTGTATTCACAGTTTGTAGCAAAAATAATGGAACGCAATGGGACTCTGTTGAAATATTGTAGGGGGCGCAGTTGATTTTAGAGGTTGGAGCGCGAGACTTTTTTGTTCGTACCGACCAGCTCTATATGCGTATCAAATTGCGTAGCTGTAGGTCAAACGTGCTTCCGACAGGACTCTGTTGAAATTTTCAAGGTGGCGCTGTGGAGCCATTTTGACATTGACATGTCCAAGTCCCTTAAAATATCAAATTTTTTGCCAGTCCTGGTGAATGTGGCGATTTTGATGAGCTTTCGTGCATGTTCAGGCCCTCAAAATCGCATTTCAAAAGTCGGTAAAATAATAATAGTTAAAGCCGCAAGCGGCGATGGACGGGTCCTCGCCCTACGCTTGTCGGCCTTTGTGCACGGCAGGCTGTGGCGCAAACCTGCTCCGGGCGGGACTGGGATCTGGCATGTCGAGTTTCAGGCACATCAGAGCACGTGCGGCCTAGTTACGAGCCACTTCCTGTTTAGTGGCGAGCTGCGGCGGCGTACGTGTTGACCGGGGTGGAAACAAGCTCTGGCTGAGACTCGGAGCACGCGTGTAAAATTTCAGGCCGATTGGAGCACAGACACAGCACGTCTAATATTCTGGTGTTTTATGGCGTTGTGGCCAAATTCAGGGGGGCGCCATTTCCACGCCGTCACACTTGTGTGGACGGTTTTACTAACGTGTAATTACCACCTCCTGTAGTTTGTGCTGGCCACATTTCAGGTGTGTACGAGCATTCCTGTAGGAGGAGATAGATTCTGAAAATTGCCAAAATTCTCAGCGTGTGTTTTCAAAATGGCGGACTTCCTGTTGGGTTTAGGACTTGGTGCTGATTGATGTTTTTGTGCGTCCTGACCTGCTACATATGCCCACCGAATCTTGTAGCTGTAGGTGAAACGACCTTCCGACAGTACTGTGATAAATGTCAGAAACACCCCGAAAATGGCCAAAATGGCCATTGATCGAAATTGCACGGGCCGCCATTTCCAAACTGGGCCTCATCTGGGGAAGGTTGTGAT